TGTTTTAGCCTACCTGGATCTGAGGGAATCGGTCTCAGATCTCATTGAGGAAGACTTGCACTGATGGAGAGTTTACTTCCTTATTCAAATAAGCAAAGCCAGTGGGAACAATGCCTACTACTGCCACGCGCTTTCTTCAGGGGAGCTCTCCCATGCCTCATCCAGGAGTTGGAGGGGTGAGTGCCAGCATCAGGCTGGAGCTGACAGCAGAGCCTGGTGACTCACCTGTCAGCCCTGAAGACTGATGCCCTTAGAGAGGAGGGATCTCTCTGCACCCTGCCGCTTGATATAAAACACAGTGGTGACGGCATCTGTCATCACTGGTGTGACGAGGGCGATGCTGGGCATGGTGTAAGAGAGCTCAACAGCCCTTCCTGCCAGCTCCCAGGTCTGCAGCGCTGAGCAAACCTCTCCCAGGCCTTGGGCACTCAAGCTGAGTGCGTGTGGCACACAAGTGCCCAGAGGAAAACGGATCCTTCCCCCAGCCCTGTATTTCTCAAGAGAGAGCAGTGAGAGGGAAGAAAGAGGAAGATGTTACACAAGGGCTTTCTGAAATTAATTACGAAGGAGTCTGCGAGCCTAGTGAAGCCCTCACAAAAAACCCCATGCTTTTCAAGTCCCCTGAAGTATCAAATATACTTGCATTTTTCATATGACACAATTCTTCTACCACCTGGGAAAGTAAATAGAGATCATCTTTTTTTTCCCCTAGTATAACAGACTTTACTCTTGCCACTAATTCAGGGTTCTTGACTTCTAGAAATTGATGTCATTTGTAATACACACACATAGGCCAAACTGAGTCAACTTGTTACAAGTAATTACAATTTTAAGCTCAAAAAAAAAAAAAAAAAAAAAATAGCCACAGCCTGTGCTTCAGCAAGGGAGCAGGCTAAAACAGCTACGCAGCTGTTGCTCCAGAGAAGGGTGATCCGGCTGTCCCTCAAAACACTGTACCTATGTGACTTTGGTGAGGGAGCCCCGCTGGCTTCGGTCAGTAGGCAACTGAACAGGTGAGTCACTGTTACGCTTCCCCAAGTACAGTCACGTCAAGGTGCTGTTACTCAAACACCTTTTACTGAAAGCAAGTCATCATCTGGAATTAGCAACAGACAGATCTGTTCTGATTCATCCACATAAATTTAACAAGAGGGAAGGCTGTCAGGGTGGCTGGGTTGTCTCTAATGTTTGGGACATTCCAGTTTGTCCCTGTTCTCTGTTGCCAGCCATCCACACTGGGGTTTCTTTATTTGCTAATGAAAAATTCATTTAAAAAAAAATCTGACCTGCATGTACCAACTACTGAGATGTTATTGCTTGGCCTTGTTGTCTTAAAAAAAAGAGGCAGGCAGTACAAGCTTTGTTAGGCCTTACCCCGCTGAGGCATGGTCACAGCCCCGTGAGTTCCTTGGCTGCTCCTTGCCTCCACCCCATTTTGCAATAACCAGTGTTGGGAAGCTGGTCCCAGCTGCAAAAGCCAGTGGGTACAGCTTCACACAATTGACCAATTGTAAAGCAATCATACATTAATTGCACATAATTACATCACCTGTTAAGTGCCATTAATCTCTGCAAGCGTGTGTGCCAAACACCCTGTGTCCATGCCATCTCTGGCTGGGTACAGTTTGTGTTTCACGAGCAGTCACGTCGCAGGCTGTGTGTTAA